TTTTTAAATAATCAAATATCTCCTAAATTCAGTGGAATTTTTTAAAAATATTTTTTAGTTTTCATTTAATAAATAAAAAATTAAAAATGTCGGCTAACTTTAATGTTATTTTATTTTTGCCATAATTTATTTGTCAAAAGTTCTAAAAATAATTATGACACTGAAGTTGACAGACATAAGAAATTTTTTTAGAACTTTATAACAATTAAATTATTATAAAAAAAATTTAATTGAAAAATTCCACATGTAAAAATTATTAAAAATTACAAGTGAAAATTTTTAGAATAATTTTTTTATTGTTGTTGATTTGTTAAAAAAAAATTTTTAATTCAACAGCTGACGGCTAACTTCAGTATCATTAATAATTAAATATCTGCTAAATTAATTTTCATAAAAATTTTAAAATATTAATAATAATAAATGTTGAAAATTAAGTCAGCCGAGATCTAAAAATTTTTAGAATTTTTTTTTATTCAAGAAATGATTACAAAAAAATTTCACTTGTAAAAAACTTTAAAAACTGTAAGTGCAATTTTCTAAATAATATTTTTTTGTTCTAATTTAATTATTAAAAAAAAATTATTATTATTAAATGTCAATAAATAATTATTATTATTAAAAATAAATACTTACAAATAATTTATTAAAAATTCTAACCCCACTTTTAAATTTATTTAATTTCATCATAAAAAATTTTTTTTCCAAAATTTCACACTTTAAACCTTCAAATTTTATTTAAAAAAAATAAAATAACTATTAAATTTTCCTAAATAATAAAACAAAACAAATTACTTATTAATAAATCACCTCAAAATGTCAAATAAAAAAAGTAAACAAACATTCTACTACTGTGCATATTTTTCAAAACTTAAAACTTGTGCGCAGGTGCGGCGCGCAGAAATCCCTGGCGCATGCGCAAAGCTATTTTTCAACGAAATCACGTGATAAATCGCGCGATCAGTCACGCGCATGTCAATTACCTTTTTATATTTATTGTATATAAATATATAATATATCAAATGTAATGTAATGTGTACACACACTCCGTTTGATACATAAGTAGTGATGATATATAGTAATATGTAATAAAAATAGATAAAAATAATCTTAATTATTTACATCCTAAAATATAACAGTGTTACGTCATCTGAGTTTTTTAAAATCTGTTCTATTCATATGTCACGTAATTGACCTTTTTTATTTTTTTATTACCGTTAAACAATATTTATTTTTTTTTTTAATTATTATTATTATTAATAACAACAATAATATAATTTAAATAATTTATTTTTTTGAAATTAAAAAAAAATTGTTGATTTAAATTCACTCAAAAATTTGGAGGTTATTAATTAACTGTCTAAATAATTTATTAATTATTGGTGATCATGACGTGTGAAAAGTAATTGTTAAAAAAAAAAATGAAGTTTTAATTTTATTAATGTTTTCAAGGTTTCATCATGACAGTAATTTAATTTATTTATTTATTTATTTTATTTTAATTTAATTTTTTAGTTATTTATAAATTATTATAATTTTTTTTTTTTTCACGGTTAAGTTTTTTTATTTTTTAAGAGCGAGTTTGTTTTTAATTTAAAAATTTATTTTTATTTTTATGACATTAAAATTAAGTAGGGAATTTTTTAACTTTTTTTTAACAAAAAATTGCAATTTTTAGTTTTAAAAATTTTTAAGTGTCAATTTTTTTTTTTGCCATAATTTATTTAAAAAAAAATAAATATCTGCTAAATTTATTTTCATTTATTTTAAATAAGTAAGTTTTTTAAATTAGTGTTTTAAATAATTGTAATTTTTTTTTTATTTTTAAAAATTGTCTTAAAATTTTTTAGACAATTTTTTAAAAGTTCATTTAAATTTTAAATTATTTTAAAATATAATTTTTTTATGAAAATTAAGTTACCCGACATTTAAAAATTTTTAAGATTTTTTTTTCATTAAAAAAATCAATATAAAAAAATAATAAAAAAATTTCATTTGTAAAAAACTTTAAAAACTGTAAGTGCAATTTTTAAAAAATATTTTTTTGTTCTAATTTAATTATTATAAAAAAAATTAAAAAATAAAAAATGTCGGCCAACTTTAGTATCATGATTTTTTTTTAATTATCGGTTTAGAATTTTTAAATTAATTTAATTATTAATTAAATTTTTTTTTTTAAATTCAATATTTTAATGAGGAAACAATATTGTCCTATTAAATGATTCAAACTTTTATCTTCCGACCTGACAAACTTATATTATCTTTTTTTATCAGTAACATCCGATTTAAAGAAAGAGAAATCGGTTGGAATAAATTATACCTAGAATAATTTTTTTAGTGTCATTTATTTTATTTATATTATTAAAAAAGAAATAATTTTTATTACAATATTTTTATTAATTAGTAATTTTTTATTAGTATTTTTAGTAATTTTTATTACAAAAAAATTTTTTTTTCAATATCAATACTGTTAAGGTAAAAAAAAAACTAATTTAATTTTTTTTTTTGTGAAAAAAAAAATTTTTTAGACCACTTAAAAAAATTTTATTTTTTTAACTTTACGTCAAGATTTTATTAATTTTATATAAAATTTTAAATTCAATAATTTTTCAAATTTTAAATATTTATTATCAAAAGTTGAAAATTTTTGCTAAGCAGAAAATTAAAAAAAATTTTTTATTTTTTAATTTTTCTGTAAATTTTCACTCTTTTAAAATTCTTAAGTTTATTTTAGCAAAATAAAATTTTTTCATTCGCTTTTTTTGATCTATTGTAAAAAAATTTTTTAATAAAAAAAAAAATAAACGATTGTTATATCGTCTGAAATTAAAACAACCAAAATTTTTTATTAAAATTAAAATTTTTCAATAAATTATTTTAAAATTCTTCAATAAAATTTTTTTTTTTTTAATTTTTGGTAAATATTTACAAGGGTCAACTATTTTAATTTTCATTTTTTTAAACGAAATTTCTATTTGATTTTATTGATATTTTTTTTTTTTTTT